TTCTGGCACTTTGAACCGAACGGCGACGAGGCAACACCGGAAGAGAAGCACAAGGAGTTCCTCTCCAAACTCGTGACAAGGTTGTTGTACGCTTGCAACTACCAACGGTCAGAGTTGGAGAGACAGCACCGGGACCTGACGCAACAGCATCAGGAATTGGCGACGCTCCGCCACACAGTGCAGAGCCACGAGRATGCAACTCGGGCACTCRATGCCCGATTGTTGGACCTGGAACAGGCTGTACCAGGACCAGCTGCTGGAGCTTCCAGCAGTGCACCCTCAAGCCGCCAACTGGAGGACCGCGTTGACCACGTAGTGGCAATGCTCGGCGACATCAGCACCTTCGYTGCGCCGACCACCACCATCAGYAGTCAGCTGCATACATTGAAGACCGAGGTCCAGAAGCTGCAGTTGACGAACGCGGACGACAATCCGAAGATGTACAAGATGCCAACTTTCAACCTGGAGAGGTTCGACGACTACACGCAGCAGGATCCCGTCCTCTGGTGGGAAGCATTCACAACGCAACTCAGGATTCTGCCAGTAGCCAAGCACGCGTACATCGGCGCCCTGTTCCTGAACTCAAAGGGCGGATGCCAGACCTGGTTGAGCCACCTGGCAACCTCCCACGGCGTCGACATACCAGACTTGAAGGACGTAATCACATGGGAGGAACTAACACGGCTGTGGAAGAAGCGGTTCATCGTCGACGACGCGCCGRCACTCGCCATCAACCGTTTGTTCACCATGTCACAGGGCAACACAGCAACACGGGATTGGCTCACGGAGTGGCAGAAGATTGCGGTTGTGCCCAATCTGAACCTACCATTCGAGCATCTACGCCGTGAGTTCTACAACAGGTCCTGCGCGGCATTGAGCCAGGCTCTTGGTGATCGCGAGCAGTACTCAACCTTCGCGGAGATCATTGACAAAGCGAGGGAGATCATCAGGACCAACAGGTCAGCTGCACACGAGAAATCAACATGGCAGCCGACCTATGTGGAGAAGGCACGAACTGGTCCGCGACAGCAGCACTTCGTTGCAGTCCAGCAGGACAGTGGAGATAACCTAGCAGCCATTCCAGCATCAAGTGACAGAGATCAGGTGGCCGCTGTCCAGCCGCGAAGCACCAACAAGTCCCGTAACAATGGGAAGGCGAAACCCGCATCGCAGGCCGGAAATGGACAGCCAGGACAGTTTCCATGGGTCAAGTTTGGCTTGACGGAGGCGGAGTACAAAGTCCGCGGCCGCTACGGCAGCTGCTATTGGTGCAACAACACCAAGCACAAGACCTCCCTGTGCCAAGATCAGGGCAAGGAGGATGTGCGACCCCGCCTCAGCTCRGGAAACTGAGCTCCGCGGAAGGTGAGGCGACTCCACCTTCTACTYCGCCAGATTCGGCCGCCTTGCTAGCGGCCTSCTGCACATCTGGGGAGGATGCGAATGTCGCAAGTCCTCGGTATASTTACGAGGATTATGCTGTCCACTTGGTTCCACCGCTGGACCAACCGCTCCACGTGCAACAGTCCACCGCATGCACGGTTTCATCACCATCGGCAACCGATTCGGCAGCTTCACCGCAACCTATCGTCGGGGATTCGACGTCATGGTCAAGACTTGAAGAGCTCGACCCATTGACGTTCACGGACTTCCAGTGGATGCCCGTTCCCTCGATCGGACGGTTGCCGAAACCGCATTGCAACGTGCTTATGGCACAATTGCGGGACTACTTGCACACTGCAGTACCAGCTCCGTTGATGGACGCCGGAGCAGAGGTTGTCGACCTTCACGCTTTCATCGCGAAGATCGACCGCGAGTTCAAGACGCAACGGTACGACGACATCGACGCACCATTGCTATACATACGCATTCAGATCGGAGAGGCGACCTGCAGTGCCTTTATCGATTGCGGAGCATCTCGCAACTACATCAGCCAGGACTTCATGGTACGCGCCGACCTTGGCCTACGTGTCCGGAGGAAGTTCCGGCCTACGCAAGTCACCCTGGCAGACGGTCATACGCACAAGTCCATCGACCGGTGCATTGACGCCGTCCCAGTGTACTTTGCCCCTCACGCAAGTGAGGCGGTGTCCTTTGACATTCTGGACACCAAATTCGACATGATCTTGGGCATGTCATGTCTGCGAAGCAAGGATCACCTGGTGAACTTCTTCAACCGCACCGTTCACGTTCGTGACCGGAACGGAGTATTAGTTCCATGCACGTTGCCTCTTCCTCATCCTTCGATCAACTGCCACGTGGTATCCGCCGCAAGCATGCGAGCTTCCATCATCAGAGACGACATCGAGGAGATGGGGGTGTGTTTTCTCCACGCCCTCCCGCCMCATGACGCTTCATCGACGGACTCACCTTCGGATCCACGCATTACCGAACTTCTCGACGCCTACAGCGACGTGTTCGAAGACCCGCATGGAGTCGTACTGGATCGACCCATCCGCCACGAGATCATCCTCGAGGACGGGGCCGTACCTCCGCGCGGTTGCATCGACCGAATGAGCGAGGAAGAGTTAAGTGTGCTTCGGGCACAACTCGACGACCGCCTAGAGAAAGGCTGGATTCGGCCTAGCTCATCGCCATACAGTGCTCCTGTTCTCTTCGTCCGGAAGAAGAACAAGGACCTGCGGTTGTGCGTCGATTATCGCAAGCTCAACACGCAGACGATCAGGAACGCCGGCCCTCTCCCACGCATCGACGACCTTCTCGAGCGATTGGGCGGCGCCTAGTTCTTCTCTAAGTTGGATCTCAAGTCAGGGTACCACCAACTCGAGATTCGCAAGGAGGATCGCTACAAGACCGCGTTCAAGACTCGGTATGGGCATTTCGAATGGCTGGTCATGCCATTTGGCCTTACGAATGCCCCAGCCACTTTCCAAGCGGCTACGACAACGGAGTTCCGACACATGCTGGATCGGTTTGTACTCATCTACCTCGACGACATCTTGGTGTATAGTCGGAGTTTGGACGAGCATGTGGAACACCTGCGCACCGTTTTGGAGAGGCTACGACAAGCCAAGTACAAAGCAAACCGCGACAAGTGCGAGTTCGCATAGCAGGAGCTGGAGTACTTGGGACACTATGTGACGCCGCAAGGCATCCGTCCGCTTGCGGACAAGATCGAGGCCCTACGAGTATGGCCCGAGCCCACCAACACCACGGACGTTCGTTCATTCATGGGGTTGGCGGGCTACTATCAGCGATTCATCACCGGATACTCCATGATTGCTACACCTATGACGAGGTTACAGTCGCCAAAGGTGCCATTCGTATTTGATGACGACGCACGCCGGTCATTCCAAGCACTTAAGACGGCTATGCTCATGGCACCCGTCCTTAGCATTTATGACCCCACCCTGCCGACACGAGTGACTACGGACGCTTCCG